CCCTACATCCTGTTACAATGTATCCCCCCAGGGTCCCTACATCCTGTTACAATGTATCCCCCCAGGGTCCCTACATCCTGTTACAATGTATCCCCCCAGGGTCCCTACATCCTGTTACAATGTATCCCCCCAGGGTCCCTACATCCTGTTACAATGTATCCCCCCAGGGTCCCTACATCCTGTTACAATGTATCCCCCCAGGGTCCCTACATCCTGTTACAATGTATCCCCCCAGGGTCCCTACATCCTGTTACAATGTATCCCCCCAGGGTCCCTACATCCTGTTACAATGTATCCCCCCAGGGTCCCTACATCCTGTTACAATGTATCCCCCCAGGGTCCCTACATCCTGTTACAATGTATCCCCCCAGGGTCCCTACATCCTGTTACAATGTATCCCCCCAGGGTCCTCAACATCCTGTTATAATTTATCCCCCGGGGTCTCTACATCCTGTTACAATGTATCCCCCCAGGGTCCTCTACATTCTGTTACAATCTATCCACCCGGGTCCCCAACATCCTGTTATAATTTATGCCCCGGGGTCTCTACATCCTGTTACAATTTATGCTCCCAGGGTCCCCAGCATGCTGTTACAATGCATCACCCCAGGGTCCCTACAACCTGTTACAATGTATCCCCCCAGGGTCCTCTACATTCTGTTACAATCTATCCACCCGGGTCCCCAACATCCTGTTATAATTTATGCCCCGGGGTCTCTACATCCTGTTGCAATGTATCCCCCGGGGTCCTCAACATCCTGTTGCAATGTATCCCCCCCGGGGTCTCTACATCCTGTTGCAATGTATCCCCCCAGGGTCCTCTACATCCTGTTACAATGTATCCCCCCGGAGTCCTCTACATCCTGTTACAATGTGTCCCCCCGGGGTGTCTACATCCTGTTACAATGTGTCCCCCCGGGGTCTCTACATCCTGTTACAATGTGTGTCCCCGGGGTCTCTACACCCGGTTACAATGTGTCCTCCCGGGGTCTCTAGATCCTGTTACAATGTATCCCCCCAGGGTCCTCAACATCCTGTTATAATTTATCCCCCGGGGTCTCTACATCCTGTTACAATGTATCCCCCCAGGGTCCTCTACATTGTTACAATGTGTCCCCCCGGGGTCTCTACACCCGGTTACAATGTGTCCCCCCGGGGTCTCTACATCCGGTTACAATGTGTCCCCCGGGGTCTCTACATCCGGTTACAATGTGTCCCCCCGGGGTCTCTACATCCGGTTACAATGTATCCCCCCGGGGGTCTCTACATCCGGTTACAATGTGTCCCCCGGGGTCTCTACATCCGGTTACAATGTATCCCCCCGGGTTCTCCAGCTTACCTGTGATGTTTCCAAACTGACGAACGGATATTCCTGGGAAGAAAACAATATATTAATCTCTCTGTTTAGTAAATCTAATACTTTCCTATATAATCAATAAATCCCCAATTCAGTATCAATCGATCATTTCCTGTGACATCATCACCGAATTAGGTAACATTTTTAGACTTAATGAATCAGCCGACATTTTCTCTGGACACAATGTAGGAAGTGATCTCTAATTGGGTGATAAAATGGCAGGACAGGGAGGACACAGCTGGCACCCCTCTCTGGTACTTTTATAACTCTGGGGGGGTCCCTCATCTCACTCCCATCTTCTCAAAAAGGACAAAACAATTTTGGCAATGGGCTCAGAGACACAATAAATCCCCCCTGTGTATGATAGGGACTGCTCTATTTTTAGAGGTGATTATATTTTTTAGCCTCTCCCTTCTAACTGAAGCTATACACTAAAAATAATTTGCTAAGGTGATTCTGAAGGGAGCGATTGTGCCCTTTAGGAAGGGACGGGCTAGACAATCCAGATACCATAGTCCGCTGTGATAGGAGACCCATCTATCATTACACAGTGCCTTGTCCCTGCAGCCCGGAGGAGATCCTAAGACTCTCTATACAGAGGAGGCACAAAAGAGACAAAAACTGTTCCCCAAAGGAAACTTTTCATTCTCCAGAATCTCTTATCAGGTACAGCTTGTCCTGGAGCCCCTGATCTCCATAACACCCCCTGATCTCCATAACACCCCCTGATCCCCATAACACCCCCTGATCTCCATAACACCCCCTGATCTCCATAACACCTCCTGATCTCCATGACACCCCCTGATCTCCATAACACCTCCTGATCTCTATAACACCCCCTGATCTCCCTAACACCCCCTGACCTCCATGACACCCCCTAACCACTGCAAGCCACTAATGTCTCCTGCTATTTCCTCATTTCCTGAGGTGTGGAGGTGGCAGGGTGTGAGGAGAAGGTGTCTGACCCCAGAGGTGAGCCGGATCAGGACCCAGCAAACATATTGATAGCTTGCGGAAATCGAATCTCACTCCGGGCGGCTCACGTTACACAGAAGGCTGCGAAATCCATCAGCACCCAATTAATGATTTGCTGCTTCAATACGTTTATGTGTTACGAACGACCCGACGAGGGGGGTGAATGGGGTGAGAAAGCGACACAAAGTGAAGAACCTCTCATCTTATTACCTCTGACAGCAGGACATCCTCAGGATAAAGTTAGCTCGGGAGGACGGAGAGGACTGTTCACTTAGCTTAGTGAATGCATGGGGGGCTCCTGTGTTCACTTAGCTTAGTGAAAGCATGGGGGGCTCCTGTGTTCACTTAGCTTAGTGAATGCATGGGGGGCTCCTGTGTTCACATTGAACGCTTCATAATCTGCTTTATGATGAAATCAGGAGATGTGTGATAAAAGTGAACACACATTCGTCTCATTCACTAAACAAAGATTGACTTCATGAAGTGAGCCGTCTCTTCTCCTACATCAGCCCCATGGCCACCATAGACTATGACATGTGGCAACGTTGTATCACCTGCTGGATGGAGAACACATATCAATGGAGCTTCAGATGTGTTTCCTTTTTTAACTGGAAATGAACGGGAATCACCAGAACTGAGTGGAAAATATTCAAACGATAAAGTCCATTTAATCGGACAAATCATCATACATATATCATATCATACATTATATCACAGAAATCACTGCGCTGGGAATGCGTGCCTAACTACCTGATTGGACCAGCCGCAACAATGTGTATATTTGCTTTACAAATCATCATACATGTTGCAATAATTTTAACCGACGTTTCGGGGCCACGCAGGGACCCTTTATCAGGGCAACAATGTAACACCCTGATGAAGGGTCCCTGCGTGGCCCCGAAACGTCGGTTATAATTATCCGTAAGTATCACTGCAACCACCATTATAGTGATTCGGGCCGGAGACGCTGCAAGGAGTGCAGGGGGACGTATTGGACTTTAATATTCCTTTTTTAACTGTTCTTCAAGGAAATCAACTCTCTTGTCGTCATTTACATTAAAAAATACAGTTTTAAAAATGATAAATTTAGCAGTGAAAAAAAGGAAAGTAATCCAACTCCTATATCCACACTGCAGAGCTGAGTTCCCCGTTCTATACACCCGCTGTGCCCATTATGAGGAGCTCCCACCATCCCTGTGCTGAGTTCCCGGGTCTGTACACCTGCTGTGCCCATTATGAGGAGCTCCCACCATCCCTGTGCTGAGTCCCCGGGTCTGTACCCCCGCTGTGCCCATTATGAGGAGCTCCCACCATCCCTGTGCTGAGTCCCCTCCCACAGGTATATCTAGACCAGGGGGTCTCAAACTCAAATGACCACTGGGTATATTTTCCTCTTCCATGTGTTTTGCATGAGGATAGCCAGGAGAGAGAGAGAAGAGAGAGAGCCAGGAGAGAAAGCAAGGAAAGTCAGCCAGGGGAGAGGAGACACAGTCAGGAGAGTGAGCCCTTCAAGACTTATCTGCACCCCGTTTCAGACACCTCCTTGCTCCCTGAGCTCCAGCATCCCTCTATGTCCCGTGCCACCTCCATGCACTCAAGTTGGACCACCAGGACCCTGTGGTTGCCTCTGTCGGTCTGGCCTAAAACCCGGACACAGCACATACAGGATTCCAAACCCGGGCTGCCCAGGTGAATGCCAGACAGATGGCGACCCTAGCTATGTCCCTGACTGCTTCAAAAGGTAAGAGCCACTCTGTCCCTGGGCTCCCCTGCTGACCTAATGGGGCCCAGTACAGGAGGGCTGGCTCTACCCGCTATCAGCAGCCCTGCCTGTGGGCCAAAAGTAACCGATCCGCGTGCTGGTACTTTGAGACCTCTGATCTAGACTGACATTTGTTCCCTTCCCCCCTCCTGGTGTCACAATCAGGCTACAGTTTTCAATGTGGAAGTGTCCGGAAATAATTGTTGGGGGTTGTTACTCTATCAGTAGGGAATGTAGGGATGATCATTGCTGTGTGGGGCTCCTGTAGGGCTCTACACACTGTATTGAGGACTGGAGAAGCCTGTAGCACACGGACACAGCAGAATTGGGTGATATTTGGTTCACTGGCCCTGCAGTGAGTGGAGATTCCTTCGTTAAGTTGCCCCCTGTGACGTACAATGACACCGCAGCTGTGAGAATCCTGCAAAGTGGGTGTCAGGTGGGGGGCTGCTCCTTGCAGGGTTGGGATTTGTATTCAGACCACATTTAAGCCGGCCACACACCTATAGATTATCTGCAGACTTTGTATGGTCAGATTCCTCCATCTACGCTGACCTGTGTGTATGGGGGAATCTCCCGCTGGGCCCAGCTTCAGTATCTTGCTAGTCGGCCCCTGTGGCTCTCGAAGTTCGGGTTCAAACTTCTTCCATGTTCTAAAGTTCAACCTTCAATCGAACTCAGGTGTGTTCGGCCCATCACTACTCTTGAGGTGCCCGTACACCTTACGACCATCGCAAGACCTTTGTCTTGCGATGGTCGTAAGCTTATTAAAAATCTTGGACGGGCAGATCGTACTTGCGACCATCAAAAGCCCGATGAGGGCAGTGAGGGGCGGGCTTCCGATCACTGCAAACGGGCAGTGTGCGCGTACGATTCTCGGCGGGTTTTCCAGCCTGCTTGTTCGTCAGAAGACGTGCGACCGTACGGTAGAAACGGTCGCACACCTTCCATACACTGTACAATTATCGTACGATCGCGGGATTTCCACAGTGGGATTTTACAGTGTATGAAGGTGCCCATACACTGCACGATTCTGCACGAATCGTACGATTCTCGGCGAGTTAGTGGCCTGCTGGTTCGACAACTGCCGAACGGGCCGGTGTGCGCACGCCCGTTTGCAGTCATCGTAAGCCCGCCCCTCATTGCAGTCATCGTAACTGCAGTCATTGCGATGATCGCAGGTACGATCTGCCTGTCCAAGATGGGCAGATCGTACGTTTTTTTAAGTACTTTACAACCCTCGCAAGACAAATGTCTTTTTACAATGGGTTGTAAAGTGTATGGGCACCTTTAATCGAGCAGTGTGAACGGAGACGTGCGACCGTTTCTACTGTACGCTTTCTTCTGTACCTTTAAGGAGGCGGGGCGTCCTCCTGACAGGCCTGCACCCAATTTGATATCTTCTGCCCCATGTGCTCCAAGATGGAGACTCTCATAGTTTAGAGTTAGGACCGCACTATAAGAGGTGCCTTGGCGCGGCAGTGCGGCTTACACATCCTTTGCAGAAGACGTGTATCCAAACCTCTGTCATTGTCCTTAGTGGTGAGACAAGTTGTTTTACATGCTGGTTTGTGAGTGTGCCATGATGCCTTTCTACTGTTCCACTGTTCAAAGCCCATTTCGTGTGCACCTTACTGTATAACTGGTAACAAATTGTTGAGTGCGTTTGTCGTTTGTTTTGCGTTTCTACTGTACGGTCGCACGTCTTCTGTCGAATCAGCATTTTCGAAAACCAGCCGGGAATCGTACGATTCTCGGCTGGTTAGAACGGTGCTCGGAAGACAAATGCCGAGCGGGCCGGTGTGTGCACGCGCACACTGCCCGTTCAGCACTGCGGTCATCGGAAGCCCGCCCCTCAGGGGGGCGCGCTTGCGATGATCGAGAGTGCGATCTGCCTGTCCAAGATGGGCAGATCGTACGTTTTTTTAATCCCTGTACAACCATCGCAAGACTAAAGTCTTGCGATGGTTGTAGAGTGTATGGCCACCTTACGACAGACACCTCCTCTGTCTCCCGGCTGGAACCCTAAACACTGGCCAGCAGTCATTCCATACGGGCACCTGACAATTGTCGTACGATTTTCGGCGGGTTGGTAGACAAAAGCCGCACGGCCCGAGGTGCTTCCCCCTCACTATTGCAATCATCTGCAAGCCCCTCCCCTCAGCGGGTACAATCTGCCTGTCCATGATGGGCGGGTCGTACGAAATTGTAATCACCTTCCAACCATCGCACAACGAAAGTCATGCGATGGTTGTAAGGTGTATGGCCAGCTTAAAAGTACTTT